AGCGCCGCGGCCTCCTGCGGCGCGGGGGGGGCTTCGTCGCTGTCACAAACCACTAACAGAGCTAAAGCCGCCTCTAAAGGCTAATTTAGTCCGTGCCAGGACCGTTCTGCTGGCATCATCTCCGGTGTTTGGGCCCCTCCGGGGCGGGAGGACCAGGCCAGGCCCAGGGCCCCGCCACCACAGGGGGCCCGCGCCGCCGCCCTCCCTGCCCGGCCTCCTCGCCCCTGAGGGGTGCGCTCCGGCTGCCCCCCAAAATTGTCACGACGAGCAGCGCGGTGCACCGGCGTTCATTTTCGGAAGCCGCTCGGGGCACCGCAACCGGCCCGGCAGAGGGTAAACTGGTGCTGGGACCGGCACCGGACTCTGATCACCTTCCTCCTCTAACGTATAGATATATATGTATAGAGAGCAGCAGCATGCAGGACGTGCCGAGGCACCTACAGAGAGGTTCAGCCTCCTCCTGTTCCTGAGTAGGTGAATATGATTATCTGCATTTTATAGAGCAGGGAAATGAGGTGCAGGAGGGGGAGGAGGAGGAAGGCCGGCTGGGGGGGGTCAGAGGGTGAGTCACTGGTAACCCAGGGATCTCCATCATCCTCGCTCTGATCATTGAAAAGATCCTCCAGATTGCTTTGCTGGAGGCAAGCCCAGCTGTACCGCCAAGAGCAGGCACCAGCTCTGGGGTTTTTCTGCGCTGGTTTGTTGTGTTCCTGCCAGACGTCAGCCCATCGGGGTGAGGGGATGCGACCGCAGCCCTCCCAAACCCACGGCTGTGAAAACAGAGAAGGACTTGGGGGTACTGGTGGGTGAAAAGCTGGGCATGAGCCGGCAACGTGCGCTCGCAGCCCAGAAGCCCAATCGTATCCTGGGCTGCATCCAAAGCAGCGTGGCCAGCAGGTCGAGGGAGGGGATTCTGCCCCTCTGCTCTGCTCTGGTGAGACCCCCCCTGGAGCACAGCGTCCAGCTCTGGGGTCCTCAGCACAGGAAAGACACAGACCTGTTGGAGTGGGTCCAGCGGAGGGCCACAAAAATGATCAGGGGGCTGGAACACCTCTGCTATGAGGAAAGGCTGAGAGAGTTGGGGTTGTTCAGCCTGGAAAGGAGAAGGCTTCGGGGAGACCTTATTGCAGCCTGTCAGTACTTAAAGGGGGCTTATAAAAAAGATGGTGGCAGACTTTTTAGCAGGGCCTGTTGCGACAGGACAAGGGGGAATGGCTTTAAACTAAAGGGGGGTAGATTTAGACTAGGTAGAAGGAAGAAATTTCCAGTGAAGCACTGGCACAGGTTGCCCAGCGAGGTGGCGGATGCCCCATCCCTGGAAACATTCCAGGTCAGGTTGGACGGGGCTCTGAGCAACCTGATCCAGTTGAAGATGTCCCTGCCCACGGCAGGGGGGTTGGACTAGATGGCCTTTAGAGGTCCCTTCCAACCCAAACCGTTCTGTGATTCCATGATTCTATAAAATAAACCCAAGAGACACACATGGTTTTATGTTTGTCCTCCCGTCCCAGCCCCTGGGGTCTGCGCCTTCACGCTTTCGGTGCACGGTCACCCGTGCTGAGCTCCGACACGCTCGTGGCACTGACACGCTCGTGGCCTCTGGGAAGCCCCGGATACCGGAATGGTGAGAAAACGGCAAAAGGTAAAAAAGGAACTCGGTAACTCATCCCGCTGGAAGGGGCAAAAAACCAGGGCGAGTCCTCCGGCTCCCCCAGCTCCTGGCAGGCTCCCCATGGGCGGGCGGCGGGGCTGCGCTGGGCCTTGCTTTGACTGGCAAGTCTCCTTGTCTGTCACGCCGAGAGCCCTCCTCTTTAGGAGGGATTTAAGGGGCTTTCTATGGCTATAGACTGCAAGGACAAATAGCACCCCCAAACCCCAGAGCTCAGTTATGAAGCTGCTCGTGGGGAGAAGATGGAAGGAGAGGTTTCGGTCTAAAGCAGATGAGCTGAGCTGAAGGCATCGCTCCATCCTTCCCACCAAACAGGCAAAAAAAATGTAAGCAGAGGAGCTGAAAAGCTGAGCAGCCTGCCAGCGCTGGCACCCCGCATCCTGCACGGGCTCCCGCCACCTCGGGCATCTCTTCCTCTCCCCCTTTGCCTCCTGCAAGATTTAAGCCTTTCATTCACAATCTCGACTCCTGACAATCCTTGTCAATAAATGAGGTGAGCATCCTCTTCTGTCTCTCTCTCTTTGTGCGGAGGACTCGGAGCACCAGCTGTGATGTAGGGCATGCGCTGAAGCGGAGGGGAGGAAGGTGCTCTGCACGGGGAGCAAAATGGCCAAAAGATGTGTTTTTTCGAAGCTGACGGTGGGAAGGGATTTGAGAGGCGTTAAACGGGATCGCGGGGAGAGAAGGGGAGACGGTAGCCTCGCAGAGGCACGGCACTGCTTGCGCTTAAATAACCCCGTTACATCGAGCCTGCTTTGAGCGCGGGGTTATAAAAAGCTGCCCAGCGATAAAACTTAAGGGACGGCTTCTGTTGTGATGCAATTGCAGTAAATGATTGCTGGCTCTGACCGAAGACTCGCTGTTGCTATGTGCGTGTCAAATCTGCTCGGATTTTCGGTTGGAGATCGAGGGGGCACCTGCACGCATCGCTGCCCAGTGGAGGGGGCAGGGTTTTCTTCTTCTCCTGCCTCCTTGCAATGGTTTCTTCCAGCCCGCTGCTGGAGGACGTTTGCTGCCGGAGGAATCCAACCGGCTTTTCTGCGGCTACGCGGTGGGAGCGGGGGTGATTCCCCCCTGGAAATCCCGGAGGTTTGGGAAACGGAGGGGGTTAGGCGGGATTTCGGTCGCGGAGGTCAGGCACAGGTTACTCCGCTGCGCATTGCATAATCTTTTGTTTCTCAAGGTCTTCTTCCTTCCTAAAGAGAGACGTGTGGCAGGCAGCCAGCCGCGGCTCCAGGCTGCCGTATGTCTTGCAGACGCTCTGCTTTCCCTGCCGTGCCGTTTCTTGACTGGATGCGATTTGTCCGCGTCCTGCGGGGCCCTCGGCGAAGTCCTGCCGCCCGCCGATGGGGACTGGCCCTCCCCCTCCTGGGAGGCTGCGTCCCTGCCTGTGCTGAGGATTTCAGGGCTGCCTCCTTGGTTTTTCTATTTGTACGGCTGATAAAGCCTTCCTGACTGTCCTGATAAAGCCGCTATAACTGTACCAGGTCGGGGAAGCCAGGTGTAACAATAAATCCAGGTGCTTGCCACCAGCTGAAGTGGCTTTTTCACGTTCCCCCAGAGGGAAGTTTACTTTGCAGGACCGAGACTAAGCGGCATAAACATTTTCTTGCGTGTATCTGAGATCGGTGCTTAAACAGTCGTTCTCTTCATGTGTTTCTCGATGCTGCAGTTTCTCCGCTTTGCAGAGAGTGAATGACTGGGGGAGGCTGGGAAGAGCATAATAATATTTGCCTATTCCTCAGGAGTGTCGTGTGTCATCATTAATACTCGTGAGCCCCGGAGGGAAGGGATTAGAGCTGAACAAATTATTATGGCAGGTCGTATTCCGGCTGCAGCACATCTCACGCTCCTCTCCGGCACCTCTCCTCCGAGGATTTGCACGGAATTAGCAAATTAGCTACTCCCTGCGAGGGTCCAGGGCTCTGTGCAGGGAGGGGGACGGAGGTGCTGAGCAGTGATGGGACTCGCTGGGTTATGGGGAGGTTCGTGGCCATCGGCTCCGGCACTGACTCCCGCTCACGCTGCCTCTGCGGTAAACGATGCTCTTGGCTCGCTTATTGGGGCCAAATGTTTACCAGGACTTCTCTCGGCAGGGACGGGCTCGCGGCTGCCCTGCGGGATGTCATGGAGAAACGTGCCGTCCTTTCTCCTGCCCGTAATTCAAGGTCTCCCCAGTGGGGACGGGCCAGGATCTTTGTCGTTCCCGGCACCCTGGATGTTTGGGACATCGGCTGTTCCCAGCAACCCAGCGGGGACGGGACCACCGCGGGAGGCAGGACCAGGAGGCTGTTTGGGGCAGGGGAGACCCTCTTCCCTGCAGGGATGGCAAGGGAAGAGCCGGCTTGGCTGGCCCGTCCCGGAGTGGCCGTTAAGCGTGCCCACGCCGTGCTGTCGCATCCCTGGGGCAGATGCGGTGTGAGCGCTGCCCTGATACGCCGCCCCACCGGCTGCCTGTCCGCCCCACCGGCTGCCTGTCAGCCCCGCGTGGCTGCCTGTCACGTTACCCCGTCGGGCTTTCCGCCCTCCACCCCGCCACGTCGCATCTCGTCCCATTTTTCTCCAGCTGTGACACGGTGCCGTCAAGTTGTATAAAATCTTGAGGCGCTGCAGCCCGAAGTAGGTCAGTAAGTTGTTTTTCCTCAGCCGGGTTATTCATCGCAGCGGTGGGGAGGGTGAAGCCGGAGAACTCCGCACGGGTGCTCCGGGACCAGGTCTGGACCTGGGCAACAAATCATCCTCCCGGGATTAATCCCCAGCATCCCTCGAGCATCCCCTCTCTGCTGGCAGCGGTTTCCTGGGGGCAGCTGTGATTTGGGGGAAGACTGGGACGTAGGTATCATCTCAGGGTGATGCCGTCCGCCTTCCCGAGCCCGCGCCGCGTCCTCGGCCTCGCGGGACGGGGACGGGGGGGCCGACGGCGGGTTCACGCCGCGCCTGACTCATTGTTGTGCCTGGCCTTATGTAACTGGTGCCGAAATCTCGCTCTCTGCCGGG